TTTTCGGCCCTTCCGCAATCCGGTGAAATCCTTTACACCCTTGAAAACAGGCGCCTCACGGGAATTTCATTTGCATCAAGCAGAAAAAACCAAAATCAAAACACTGGAAGTAACACCTGTAGTGGGTGTGCATTTTGCTAAAACGTAGGCCAAATTACTTGCGTGTTTGTACACGAAAGTAAGTTTCAAAGCAAACGTGTCAGCAAAACAAAACAACCACAACAATATGTTGAAACTCTTGTGCGGCCACACCCTTTGATTCAAGGACCGGATAACCCCACATGTGAAGTTTTTGTGTTTATAGAGAGTCGAGGCAAAAATGGAAGGAAGCGGAATGATAGCGGATTAGTGTATGCGGCTGATGAGCGGAGATGCGAAGAAGCTCCAGACCAGCCTCTCCAATAATGACATCACCGCACTTCTCCGGTAAGCTGGTAAGATAATTCTGTTGAACAGGTACACACCTTATGCCATCCAGGTAAAACCATTCTGAACACCTTAGAAGATATTGCCGCTCTAGAATTTTCTCAGTTTTCCAGCTCTGTTTACAACGGTGTTTTTCCAACACGGTTTTCTGCAGATGCATTTTTGTCTAAGTTTTTCCCTCGTTTGAAGTGTTTGTTGAAACAAATCTTTGCAGTGGTTGACTGCGTATTTTCAGGTTACAAGAGTCATTGTTCGCTACGTGCAGATGTGCTGCTGGCGTCGGAGGCAGAACGTCCAAGTATGAGACTGCCGCATGACCGGCTCATTGCCTCGGTTGTGAACGTTCAATAGTCTGCGAACTCAATGCAAGGCTGGTGCAGCGGACCAGCTGCCAACAATTGCCGCTGATCTCAGAATTCTGTGAGACTGCCAGCAGCATTTGGATAAATCAAAAGCATGGATTTCAATCATGTCAGCTCAAATCAACATCGAAGAAGTAGTAGAAAGCAGCCTTAGGTGGTGTTGGGAAACTTCAGCGCAGGAGATCCGTTCGAGGCTGCCAGTGAGGCGATGCCGCATGCAATGAAGCAACATTTTCACATGGCTTCCCGACGCAAACTACTTCCAGGTCAAGAGCAATGCGAATGTTATGTTGCAGGAGCAGTATTTGGCCCGTACCCAAAGATGATTGAAATTGCGGACCGTCGAAACTTGAACTTGAGGCCATGCTTCAGGCCAAGCTTAGCTCCCTTCCCCCAAAGCTGCAGAATCAGGCCACACACTTACAATCAGAGCTTTTTGTGTTGATGAATTGGAGAAACGGAGAAGGGAAGAATCGAGTCGCTGAGAGCTGGGATGCGTCAGACTCTGGACAAATGACTGAAGTTCCAAGGTTTCAGCCTTGCAGACAGTGCAGCGCTATGAGAATAGGCAGCTACAATGTCAGGCATGCTGGTATATGACTTGACACCAAGCTTTGTCACGAGCAATGTGGGTGTACCAGAGTTGACAAGGTCTCCCTTCCGTTCTTGTCTTTTCTATCGTGACTCTTGTTGAATGCTCGGTGGTGACTGCGCCCCGCAGGCCAAAGCTGGCAGACCAGTCAAACCAAAACACAGCACAAGCCTAGCGAAACTGACGGGTCATCGCTTGAAGTTTGAAGGCTTGCCCACCTTCAAAGTACGACAAGCTGCGCAGTGAACTTCGCTGCTGCATGATGGGGGAAGCTTGTTGTGTAATTGTGATGTGGTGAGTGAGACGTACTGCAAGGCGGTTGTGTGATGTTTTATACAACCTGGTGTTGAGTGGTGACATGGTGTTTGGCAATGTGGTGGCTTGCGAAGTCTTGAAGTGTGCTGCTGCGATTGTTTTCTAAAACCCTTCTCCACAATCTCTTCTCTACTTACTTGCAAGAACTCTTGCGTCACCGTGTCACTGCAGTTCGCAATCTTGTGGAACGTTTCCAATGCAGTTACCATCCCAAAGCACACCGGGGAACCCCAATCGCAGAAATTGATGAGGGCAGTTGACGAACTTAACAAACGTTAATGTTCAATCGAGACATCTTTTTGAAGCGGGATGAACAAAGCTTGCGTTCAAAATTGTAACAATTGATTTGAGGGGCTTACGCCCAATAGCGACCCAGCAGGGGCTTCAGTGCGAGGCAGCAGGGGAAAGAGGTGAGACTCGTCCTTGTCCTCCTCCTCCTCCTCCTCGTCCTCGTGTGATTTGCGTGGCAGGCGCGGTGCCGCGGTACTTGGTGCTCTCCAAGGGGTCGGGTGTACGCCCTGGCGTCCCTGGGTCGCCGCCGCTCTGCCGGTGTGATTTGCTTGGCAGGGAAGAGGTATGGGGTCGTGGTGTTGGCCACGTAGAGATTGAAGACGCTGGTGAAAGTGTTGTGGAGCGCGTGTGGGTGCAGGAGGAGGACGGATGTTGTGTGCACATGGTGGTAGTGGCGCGTGGAGGTGTTGGAGCCGGGGGTGGGGGCGCATCCGCTTGGTTGTCATCACCTCCCCAATCTGCTTCTTCTTCAAGATCGCAAGAGCGAGAGGCGGCGCGGCAGCAATCCCGGCAAGAGCGTCCAGCTGAATCTGAGGAAGTCAAGGAAGCAAACCAAATGGTAAAATAGTAAAGGACAAATCCCAAGTAACATGACCGTGCTAGATCGGAAGGTTACCTGAGAAAAGAGAGGGTGCGTAGTGTCAGCGTATATGTAGAAAGGCAGTACATGGTGGGGAAATCAGCTTGAACCAAAAGGAGAAGAAGGGACACCCAAACATGTTGCAAATCCGAACATGGGTCGAAAGGGATTATAGACAAGGAAGAGGAGCCTTTTTATCAAGATGAAGTCAAGAAACGATGGTGAGGGTGAAACAAATCAAGGAGTTGGTCAAAACGTCGTGCGAGAGCGAGAGCGCGTTCGAGACGAAGAGGCTCCGGACCGGTTGTAGTTCGTCGGCCACGAAGAGGCCAGCGGCGAGGCCCAGGGTGGAGGGCGAACAGAGAAAGCCCTCGAAGGTGAGGAAGTGTCCAGCGGTGGTAGTTGAGGGTCAGGGATCGAAGTCTGCCCTTGTAGTTCAGCGCCGAGTTGTTCAGGGCCAGGCGTGAGGATATGCGTCATCCCGAGCGTGGTGAGAAGTTCTTGAGCGTGGCAGTATCAACGGCTTGAGTAAACTAAAGGAGAGCGGAGTCCAAATCACGGAGTTGGGTCAAGACATGGGGTGCGGTGATCTGGCCCAAAAAGACGGAGGAGGCAATAGCAAAGCGAAAGCGCAGAAGCGCAACGGTCATTTCCAAAATGCCAAGTACGTGACGTGAAGGAGTTCTCGATGTAAGGAGAGAGTCGACGGGAGAAGGCTCCTTTTGGAGCCACGCAGCCCTAGGGCTACCTACTGAAATGCAATAATTCGCAGGTCTTAGCAAATAACTTTGGCACAAGCCGCCTCCTACGCTCGCTGCGAGCTGCTCTGGTTCCGGGCAATGGAATCGTTAGACAAACCCCCGTTCAACGGGGCCACACCCTGGGCTGGCATAGGGCCAGGCGTACTCAAGATAATGCATACTGGCACAATTGCGGTTTGCCGCACGCCAGCCTAAGTAAAACGCCTAAGGGCCCAGGTAAGTTTAAAAACCTCCAAAGTCCACGAACTTGAAAACCGAGAGGCCGCGACAGGATGACGACGTTCGCTCGCAACTGCAGAATGCAGAACCGATGCAAAGGCTGGTAAATTTGTTGCGGGTACAACGGGCCCAAGAGGAAATGAATGGTAATCATTGCAGGTACGTCGACAGGACGTCTCCCATCGATATCACAAGCAAGAGATAGGTGTCTTCGTTGGCACCTGCCCTATCTCTGCTCCACAGGTGTCCCCTGCGATAAAGAGTCTACCAAAGTACAGGTTAAAACCAATGCAAGGCAAAAAGTAAGAACAAATTCAACCGGAATCCCTGTGGTTCCAAGGGTGTCACACACACTATGGCAGAAACTCATGTTAAGCAAATGCACGGGAGTGATCAAGTCCTGCTTCCACCACTATGCATGGCTTCGTTGGCATTCGTTTGCAGAATGGTCGCATGCCTAGAAATCAATTTCTTCAAAGTTCTACCCGCACTTTATCGTTCTTCATTCTACACACAAGTGATGCGGAGTGCTTCCATGATTCTCTGCTAAACAAATTTCCCTTGGCCCTTTGACAACATACAAACACGCGCTGCTGTCTCACACACACACACATGGCCTCCATGGTATTGATCACACAACACCGTTCTTGCATGAAGCACAGCACAAAAAAAATCGAATTGGAACATGATAGCATGGAATGTTGGCATAGAAAAGGGGCACTGCGGAAAATCATTATGGGGTTGATACAACCTCACATGGGGTTGATTAGCCAGACCGGACATGTGTTCAAATGTTTTTGTTCCAAGAGTTCATCCTAACTAACAAGGTACGGAAAGGGGGGCGAACAAGAAAATGCTGTGTGGGCTATCCGTGAATGGCCTTCAACATTTGTCCAAAGTGGGCCTGGGACCCTAAGCCAAGCAAAGGTGTTTCTTTCACAATTGCCTATTGCTCAACTTGAGGAAGGGTTTGGGGTGTTGATAAGTGGCTGTTTATATGTTGGATTGTTTGGTGGCAGAAGCAGCGGGTGCCACAGGCATTGAACGAAATTCCAGTTTGCACTATTGATGCATCCACCACGCAGGAAAGTGCTATCCTTAGCAGTGCCCTAGCAGCTGTGACCAAGTCTTCTCTGAAACACAGGTTGACTACTTGTGAACATATGCGGCATAGCATAATTCTTGCTGCGCAATTCAGTGCCCACTTTTGAGTTTCAGACACACTTAGTCAGCAGAGGTTACGAGTTATCCTTTATGAAGATGTCTCGACCCAAGCGTTTAGATCCTGATGTCAGCCTGCCGTGCATAGCAACGGTCATCGTGGCATGTGCAAGAAATTAAAGATCCGGTGGCTCAAACCTGCAAGGTAACTCCTCCAATGCTCATTTGCACCCATCATAAAGTAGAGTTCCAAAAGGTATTGAAGCGAAGAGAAACTAGTGCAAGGGTGCTTCATGCCGTCGACAGCGCAGATGAAGCTGCGTTGGGCAGCCACCAGAGTTGTCGTCGCAGCTTTTGCAGTGGCTGCTTCCCAATCGTTTGTCTCGGCTGATGACATCAGTCCTTCGTTGAGGTGCTGGTTCGCTGTGACCTTGAAAGCGTTGAAATTGACAAGTATATGAATTTATATTTATATATATATACACACACAGTAACTGGGATGTTTTTTGTATTGTGCTGCAAGCCTTTGCAAAGCACAATGTTTTTTTATGTGTTTCGTTCCTTTTGAGGAGGTCCTTCGCAGGCATCACCTCCAAGCAGAAAACTACATCAAGCTGGAGAACAAGACTCCAAGAATTCGGAAGGCTGGGTGGAGTTGTTTTTCGGGATTTGATTTGAAAGCTGACTTGGAAGGCAGGATTTGATTAATGACGCGGTGCAGACTCTGCAGACAAGTGACATGAGGCTGAAAAGAGAGCGACAGCTTTTGGTGATGGGACAAATTTGTTTCCATTCTTTCTGTCGCCAGGGCTCCACGGAGTCATTCTGTTTTTGGCCATACATGGTTGCAGGATGCGAAGTGCTATGCTTGGCGCGCTAGTGCTTTGGGGTGGCCTGTGGCTTGCAAAGGTTCCACAAAGCAAAAAAGTATTGTACCGAGCCACACTTGCCACGCAATCTCACGTTTTTTGCTGCAAGGTTGTCACAGGCCTGGCTGCTTCCAGTTCAAACGGACATCGGCAACTTGAACTTGCTCTGTAGTTGTTAATGCGGCATAGGTTTGCTAGGGCCTGAAATCAATGACAGTCATCGCAGGCTATTTGGAAACTTTGGCAAGACTGGGTGTCTTTGGAAGATTTGCTGGGGCACCTTCAGTTGTAGCGTGGGGTGCAGGACAGGCGCGCCAAGTTGGTTTCAATGCTTTTGACAGCTTCCAAGCTTCAAGTTACAAAGTTCTAGTTGCAATACTCAAAATACACATGACGATTACATATGATGGGACGCCCAAGGACTTTCGTTGTCACGACCCTCTAAGTGTAGTTGGAAGCTTGCTGGTGTACTTGTTTGCCCTCTGAAACAATCATATCATGTTTGACTCGTAAGTGAGTCGTTTGACGCACGTCCTTTGAACAAACATTGCAAACTTCTCAAACTGCTGCGTTGCAGCAGTATGTACACAAAGTTCCATGGGGCGGCAACGTCTTAATGGAAAATAACAACAAAAAGGAAACAAAAAGAAAGTATATAGCAACCTACTGTGATAGCAATGGCCTCCATCCTAGCAGCAATGGCCTCCAACCTACTAGCGATGGCCTCCCTCCCAGACGCAGTAAGTGCATGAAATTGTGTCTTGAATAGAGACCCCGCCCCTTCCCTCCCGTTGGACACCCCCCTCCACTCCTTTGTGGGCAGAAGGCTTACCAAGTCAGTCCTTTTGAAGTTTTGTTCGAGTCGTGTCTGAGGTCATCCAATTCTGATTTCATGTTCAAACGCATCCGCCGTGTAAAGCACGCTTCATCAAAAAGATGTCCCTTGTGCTACATCGCAATTGTTGCAGCACGTCTCAGATGGTATTGCCTGTAGCTTGTTCTCATCACACAACAAATTATTGTTCTTTGTGGTATGTTGTGCATTCCTGTGGCAGGTCTTGTGTGTTGTCATTAGTTCACACAAACACTCCTCCATTTGTGACTGCCCAGGCGAGTGTTCTCGCTGATCTGCTGTTTGGTTGCGTATCATTCCTCCTTTTCAACCCTGATACTTGTAGGTTGTTTGCATTGCAGTGCGATCATGTTAACCTGAAACCAGTGGTTTCTTCTTTGTTCAGGTGCTTTCTTCGTTGCTCAGGAATTGATTGCTCAGGAATCGGCGCGAAGTGAAAGAAGATAGTCCGGCTACCGCCTGCGCCGCGGGTTTGATATTCAGAGAGCTTGTCTAGCTCTAGCTGTTCTTTGGCACCCTTGGGCAACTATACGTCTTTACTGTACTACAAAATGTATTGGAACAATACGCATTACAAAATGACATGGACAATGCTTTGTAGGTCATGGCTCCTGCATTGCATGTGTCCCGAGCGACGCATAAAACAAGCTGCCTTCTGTTGGCTGCGTAGTCGCACCATTTCGTTTGTCCAAATACAAATTGCCCAGAAAAAGTAGAACAAACTCACATCGAACCATTTGTGCGACCAAACAAGCCTCTACAAAATGACCATCCACGGAACGAAACAAAGTAGTTTGCAAGCCTGCATGCATCCTTTGCAGGTGGAACGTGTATGGAAGGAACTTCTGCGTCTCGTTTGTTTTGTGCAAGTTTTGTGGGCGCAGCCCAAGCAACGAAGATAGTTTGTCTCTGATTTAGTGCAGCTCAATATGGACCACCCCCATTGTAAAGGATGTTCTAGTTTGTGGTAATTGTATTGCTCGCATCTGGTAACAACACGCATGATAAGCGTCCTTTTGTTTGCGCACTTCCTCACAATTTCCTGCGCAAATTGGTTGAGGGTGCAAATCTTCGCACAGTCCAACCTTTTTTTCCGCAACATAGAGCAATTTTGGGCCACCCATTTTGCATGTTTTGTCATGGGAGCTGAATTTCCAAAGGTTTGTAGTCTCTATGTTACCGGGGGCTGGACTATTTTCAGTACATGTTGTGGTGTCAGGTGACACCAATATGTAGACTTGTTTTCAGCCTTCATTTCTATGGTATTTTTCGGTTCGTGTTGCGTTCAACAGCTGCCGGTTGCATTGATTGGGGCGCTCACCTTGTTGCCTGAATCCGCGTTCATGGCCAAGGTCTGTCGTTTCTGGGGACCATTTTCCGCATGAAGTTAGCTTGATTGATCAAAGAAAGTTTAGGGTGCAAAACTTCCGTATTACGGACTTTCAACAGCTCTAGCTCTAGTTAGCTCTAGTTTCAGTCAGCTCTCTAGCTCCACTTTAGCTCCAGTCAGCTCTAGCTTTAGTTAGCTCTAACTCCAGTCAGCTCCAGCTTTAGTTAGCTGTAGTTTCAGTCAGCTCTCTAGCTCCACTTTAGCTCCAGTCAGCTCTAGCTTTAGTTAGCTCTAACTCCAGTCAGCTCTAGCTTTAGTTAGCTCTAGCTCTGGCTTTGCAGGTGTTCAACATGCATTTTGGAAGGAAGTCTCGTACAAAGCGCGTGTTTGAGAGATAGCGGAAGCACGAAATGTTGTGCTTTTCAATACACAGGGTGGCTCCGAACCTGGCAAGTCAAGCTCTGCGGAATGACGGTTTCCGGACGGTCTCGCGTCATGCTCGGATCATATTCGAATCGTCCCTCCATTGTAACTAGAGTTTTCACCTGTTTCTTGTGTGCGTGTTGTTGATGGAATTCCATTGCGTTTTGCAACTCCTGGATGGCTTCCGCACTGTAAATGTGACTGCAAGTGTTGCTGGTGGATGAGTTGTCGCTGGAATTTCATTGTGCTTTGCAACTTCAGGATCGTTCCCGCAATGTAAATGGCACTTTCATGTCTGGTTGGATCATGTCTTCCAGTTACATTTTTGCAGAATTGCTTCGTTTTGCAGGTGTTCAACCTGCATTTTAGAAGGAAGTCTCGTACAAAGTGCGTGTTTGAGAGATAGCGGAAGCACGAAATGTTGTGCTTTTCAATACAAAGGGTCGCTCCGAACCTGGCAAGTCAAGCTCTGCGGAATGACGGTTTCCGGACGGTCTCGCGTCATGCTCGGATCATGTTCGAATCGTCCCTCCATTGTAACTAGAGTTTTCACCTGTTTCTTGTGTGCGTGTTGTTGATGGAATTCCATTGCGTTTTGCAACTCCTGGATGGTTTCCGCACTGTAAATGTGACTGCAAGTGCTGCTGGTGGATGAGTTGTCGCTGGAATTTCATTGTGTTTTGCAACTTCAGGATCGTTCCCACAATGTAAATGGCGCTTTCATGTCTGGTTGGATCATGTCTTCCAGTTACATTTTAGGAGAAAGTCTCGCAGAATTGCTTCGTTTTGCAGGTGTTCAACATGCATTTTGGAAGGAAATCTCGGGCGGTCTCGCGTCATGCTCGGATCATGTTCGAATCGTCCCTCCATTGTAACTAGAGTTTTCACCTGTTTCTTGCGCGCGTGTTGTTGATGGAATTCCATTGCGGTTTGCAACTCCTGGATCGTTTCCGCACTCTAAGCGTGACTGCAAGTGTTGCTGGTGGATGAGTTGTCGCTGGAATTTCATTTTGTTTGCAACTTCAGGATCGTTCCCGCAATGTAAATGGCACTTTCATGTCTGGTTGGATCACGTCTTCCAGTTACATTTTGGCAGAAAGTCTCGCGGAATTGCTTCGTTTTGCAGGTGTTCAACATGCATTTTGGAAGGAAGTCTCGTACAAAGTGCGTGTTTGAGAGATAGCGGAAGCATGTGTTTTTCAATACAAAGGGTGGCTCCGAACCTGGCAAGGCAAGCTCTGTGGAACGACGGTTTCCGGACGGTCTCGCGCCATGCTCGGATCATGTTCGAATCGTCCCTCCATTGTAACTAGAGTCTTCGCCTGTTTCTTGCGCGCGTGCTGTTGATAGAATTCCATTGCGGTTTGCAACTCCTGGATGGTTTCCGCACTGTAAATGTGACTGCAAGTGTTGCTGGTGGATGAGTTGTGGCTGGAATTTCATTGTGTTTTGGAACTTGAGGATCGCTCCGGCAATGTAAATGGCACTTTCTTGGTTGGATCATGTCTTCCAATTACATTTTGGGAGGAAGTCTTGCAGAATTGCTTTGTTTTGCAGGTGTTCAACATGCATTTTGGAAGGAAGTCTCGTACAAAGTGCGTGATTGAGAGAAGCGGAAGCACGAAATGTTGTGTTTTTCAATACAAAGGGTGGCTCCGAACCTGGCAAGTCAAGCTCTGCGGAATGACGGTTTCTGGACGGTCTCGCGTCATGCTCGGATCATGTTCGAACGTCTCTCCATCTGTTTCTTGCGCGCGCGTTGTTGATGGAATTCCATTGCGTGTTGCAACTCCTGGATGGTTTCCGCGCTGTAAATGTGACTGCGAGTGTTGCTGGTGGATGAGTTGCCGCTGGAATTTCATTGTGTTTTGCAACTTCAGGATCGTTCCCGCCATGTAAATGGCACTTTCATGTCTGGTTGGATCATGTCTTCCAGTTACATTTTGGAAGGAAGTCTCGCACAAAATGCGTTTTCGAGAGATAGCGGACGCGCGAAATATTGTATTTTTCAATACAAAGGGTGGCTCCGAATCTGGCAAGTCAAGCTCTGCTGAACGACGGTTGCGGAACGGCCTCGTGTCATGCTCGGATCATGTTCGAATCGTCCCTGCATTGTAACAGTTTGTAAACAGAGTTAGAGTTTTCACCTATTTCTTGCGAGTACGCCGTTGTGGGCTGCTTGCATGACGCCATCGTTGCGGGCCGGAAAAAAGGGGGTCCGCAGGGCACGTGCGAAGGGACACTCCTATAGTAGGTCAAATTGGGAAACTTCCGCCGCCGGCTTGCCCGTAGATCCCTTGCTACCGACAATCTAGAATGAGTGTTGTCGACCACGTTTTTACGAAAGCCAGCAGATACGCTAGGCTGGAGTTGTTGATGGGCTATAGGGGGTGTGGGGGGGTGCAAAGTGGGCCCGGCCGGGTAGGGTGAACCCAGAGCCTGGTGGGGGAGAGTGAAAAAGAGAGGTGGCGCGGAAAGTTGTGAAAAGTGATGGTCTAGTGATGCGGGTGACGCAATGGACGCCGAGGAGTGCATCATTAGCATCACGAAGGGCTCAGGAGACTATTTGGGCAGTCTGTCGACAAGGGGTGGGACTTCGGGTAGGGGACAGGAAAGGGAGGACTATGTGACAGGAAATGCAAGAAAAGAGGTCATCCCACAGTGAGGGAGCTGAGCAGGCTAACCAGGTGTGTCCACAGAAGCGGCGAGATTTGCGCAAGCCAAAACAGAGCAAGTTCAGTCCCTCTCCACTCGTCAGAGCACGGCTCTTGCAGTGTGGTCGACACTTGTTCTCGTTAGCAACAGAGACGTTAATAGCTTGGCGAGGGAAGCCGCTCAAAAGGCGGTCGACGTGGCTTCAGAGCAGGACCTTGGATGCATGCTTTGCACGGGCCAAAAAGCAACGTTTGGTTGAGATGCGACTTCAGTGACCAGTGGGCTTGGAGTGGAGACAGCTGGGGGACAGGCTTGGAGAAGGACCTTGGACATAGGCCGTCAGAAAGCGACGGTTGGCAGTGGACGAGGAGCTTCGCGGACCATTTTCTGCGTCGAATTAGGTCGGGTGTTAATAGTACGGCGAGGGAAGAAGGCTGTTGACGTGGACTCGCGACAGGTTTCAGGTTAGCGACAACGACATGCAGGTGAAACTGCAGCGGCCCAAAGGCAACACAATTACGAACAGATTTGATACCCCCGGGTGCTGATACTAGCAGGTGAAATGCTTCACAAAACATTGCAAGTGGCACAAGACCGACTTCTCCGAGTCTGACTTGTTCAAGATCCCCTTGCCAGGTCTCTTGTGGAGGTCTTTGGGGGGGGGCCTTCACCAATTTGCAGCAGACCATTTCGGAATAGTTCGGAGATCATTTTTTAACGTAGACATTTGTCTCTTTGTAATGAGCAAATTCATTTGTCATAGTCTGGCCGTCGCCGCAATCGTACGTGGAAGGGCCAGGTCAGGTCATGAAGCGCACGCAAACGACAGAGCGCAAGTTAGAGTATATATAGCCACAGTCTCGTTGCTGTTTTCACATGTATTTTTTGAATATGTATATTTCATTAAATGTATGTTATATCAACAGTTATTATCCATAACAAGCAGTGAATGAGAATCAAACAACCGTTTGGATCTGCAGGAGCTGGGGCATTTCACACGCTGTCGGGCCCAGATCATCTCGCAGCTTTGGCTCCCCTGGCTTTGCGTACTTCCGGCCCTGGAAAAGCTTTCCGCACAGGCGCCGGCTGGCAACAGCTCAAGCTATGTTGATGTTCCTGACATCGTTCGAAAAAGCGGTTCGATTCGGTTTGCGAAACCGTACTCCAAAGGTTGCCTCGCAATATTTGCACATGCTTCAGATTTCTTCACATAGTTCTTGCAGATTCCAGGTGTTTTCTGGGGTTTTGGCCACGTGCTTGGACAAGTGCTTTTGGGGAACTTGGCTTGATTCGCACGGCCAAAACATAATTCATGTTGACCCTAGCCTTAAGTTCAAATCGTGAAGGCGTGCGTGTTTGGCAGATGCCTTTTCGCCTTGCCAAGGATCAGCCTTTTGCTTCTTAGCCAGTCGACTCAGTCTTGCCACATCCTCCAATCCTGTCAAAGTGGAGGTCATATAGGGCAGTTGGCAGAGAAAACTGCCTCGATTGCCATGGGCGCCGTCCTCATGACTGGGTTGCGATCAAGTGGTTCAAGAATTTTCAATGAAAATCGAGAGGTAATCAGGTATTATCATCAGATAACTAGTTAAAAGATGTTAAGTTAGTACTACATCATTTCACCATATTTCACCAAGCTGGTGCAGAGGTGAGGATTTGATGCACTTCGACTTTGACTTTGCTTTGGAAAGGGAATTGGGTTGTCCAGCATGTCCATTGTGACGCTAGGATCATTGGCGGCATGGGCTTGAAGGAATCTCGCGAACCTCGGCTCAACTTGCTGAAATCACGCGCTAATTTCCCAAGCCCAGCTTTCCAGGCTTGACAGTCATACCTATAAGGTATGTCGATGTATGTCGCGCGGGGCCGGAAGGTAAGGACACAACCTTCGACAACTACAGAAAGCTGTTCCGATGTTTTGCGAATATGACAAGTGCACAGCGTGGTGATGCGTTGCGCACGGTCATGACTGACTTTGGTGTTTGTTGGTTGCGCGACCCTTTCCTTTCTGGCTGTTGCGCTGCAATTCCGACTCAGGCAAAGCCTCGTGGGGTTCAGGCTGTGTGTTGTCGTACAAGCGCGGCCAGCCTGCTGCAGGCGACTCCTGGTTCGGCCAGGCAGCAAAACGTCGAGAATTGCGAGCCCCCATGGCACGTGAGCCTGCGATCACGAATTTTTGCACGCGGACTTCAACCAAGACAGTCATCAGTCATCATGATGCTCCAGCAGCGTGATTCAGTGATTGTGTCCATCAACGGCGGAAGCGGGAGTGCATACCCAACGCGTTTGTTAATGATTTTCTGCAAAGCGTGCGCGGGCCCACTAGGACACTGCAAAAAGGGAAGCCTGTTTTGTTGAACAGCCACAGGCAGTTCAGCAGGCAAGAGTGTCTTTAGTCGGAACACGGCGCCAGATTCTTGTCAAAGGAGCGGTTCAGTCACCAAGCCGCTTCCGGGCTTTCCGCTAATCGTTTTTCCATGCTTTCCCCAAGCCAACCGGTAGGACACTGGATGCAGTGTTGAGAGCCATCAAGTGAGAACTCTGTGGCAAGATCGACTGGAACGGGCTTGGTGTTTCTTTCTTGGCTCACCATCACGACGCTCAAGGTGCTCGGAACGCGCCTTGAAGCCGCGGTCTGGCGTTCTCTCTTCTTCGGACTGGGCCGCTGGTCCTTTAAGAAATGGCCGTGCTTGCGCGGCCAGCGTACAGACATCATGGCCTGCTTCTCAGCCCTCTGACTGCGCAGTGTCCAAACGTGTAGGGGAATGCGAATTTTGACCATGCTTGCGCGACCCTCTTGTAGGATCCAGCACGCCGAGCGCCAAACGTGTAGGGAAACGCGAACCTTGCCGGCGCTGGCGGAACCCTCTCTCAGGATCCAGCGTGTTCAGTGCCGAAACGTGGTCTGACACATCCAGGACTTCATTTGCAAGAGTCTAGTTCAGGCTCTAAGCACTTGTATTCAAGCGCTTGTTACGAAAGCCAGCCTTCGTAGAAGGCGCCAGCTGAGTTGTGCTTGGCGAACGAAGTGAGTAGTTAGGGGGTCTGGGGGGGGGTGGCCCGCAAAAGGTACACGTAAACTCGGCACATGCTGGGGGAGGAGGGTGCATCGAGGGAAGGTTTTTTGAGGTTGTGTTGGAGGTGATTTTTGAGGGGTGGTGATGCAAGAAATGCAATTTGCATCATTTGCATCATCTGAATGGAAAGGTGTAGTTGGCACCTTGCCAGGTATAGATACTCAGGGTAGCTATAGTGCAGCTACCAGGTATAGTACTTCAAGTTCCCTTTCCGTCAACCGCTCGATAACCTCTACACACGCACAGCAATCCACAGCTTTGAAGCCTCATGCGCGCGATACCTGGGAACAGAATTGTAGCTACCCTGGGTCCGTATAAATGCTAGGCTGCTATACCTCTTACACACCTATACAAGTTCAAAGCACGAATGAGACTTCAAAGCTGTGGTTTGCTGTGCATGTGTGGCTCGAGAAAGATATACGTAAACTCTGGGAGGTGATGCTTTGATGCTTTTGGAGCGGGTGGTGACGCACTCGCCAACTAGAACATATACCCTTCAATAGGAACTCGAACAGCTCAAATCCAGAAGATTCTGAAAATGGCTTGGCTCCCTATATAAACCCTGGGAAGACTGGGAAGCGAAGAGGTGGAAACAGCTGGGAGGTCTTGAACTTTTAAGTAAACAAAAGGCCGCATTCAAGCAGCAGAAGAACAATGTGCATCCTTTGCTCTCGCTTCGCAGACCTTCATTTTTAAGGAGGCCTGAACAGAGTGTTTTAGGGCAGCACACCCTGGTCTCAGGCCACCTTGAATTTAGCTTGAAAAACTGTTTGTTTTAACAAAAGCCTTGTCACAGAGACACCTCAGGACCCTTGCTTCGCATATCCTCATTTTTGAGGTGGCCTGAACATATAGTTTCGGGCAGCGAGCCTCTGGTCCCAGGCCACCTCGAATTTTGCTCTAAAAACTTTCTACTTGAACGAATGCACTTCCAATCATATGACAACCAATCGTATGTTCAACCAGGTGCAAGGTCAATGTAGGTCAATGTGCATTTTTTGGCTTTTGCTTCATCTGAATGTGGATGGGAATTATCTATGTGTGAACAGAATGTTTTTTTCAAACGAACTTCAAGGTGGCCTGGGGCCAGGCGTTTGCTGCCCTAAAACCATTGTTCAGGCACTTCAAAAATGAAGAACAGATTCAAAGGATACCTGGATAAGGCCGCTCCTAAAAAGACCTGCTACAACAAGGTCGATGGGGGGGGGTGTGCGCGAACGTTTATCGAGCTAAACGCAAGTCGTTGTTGGGTCCGCGCGCGTGAATCTTTATGAAGCTAAATGCAAGGTGGCCTGGGGCCTGGGGTTTGCCGCCCTCAAACACTATGTTCAGGCCACCTCAAAGCTGAGCTGTGCTTGGCGAACGACGTTAGTAGGTCGGGGGTCGCGGGGGTGGCCCGAGAAAGGTATACGTAAACTCTTGGAGGTGATGTTTTAGTGATTTTGGAGCGGGCGGTGATGCAAGAGTGCATTTTTTGCTTTTGCATGGTTACCTATGTGTGGGCAGAACAAGACATGAAGCAGATTTGACACGCGGCCGCAAGCGGCTGCGCGAGTTCATTTTCAAGAGGGCGTCCCACTCCCAGGCTTGCCTGACAGTTGCACAACAACCTTTTCGACTCGAGACAATGAAAAAGGAAGCTTATAGGATATCATGATCTCAGAAATCACATGGTGTTAATGCCTGAAAAGCAAGTGTCCGAGAAAGGGAAGCGCTGGCTTTCGTTTTGCAGCTTCTCAGGTTAGAATCAGGCGCAGGCTTAAGAGTCCCGCGCAATCTCGCACAGGCTTTAGCACTTGCAAGAGTCTTGCACAGGCTTTAGCAATCTTTAGCCTTTTTTCAGAGTTTTGCTAAGGCTGTCGCACTTGTAAGACTTGTAAGAGCCTTTTGCGCAGGCTTTAGCGTTTGAGAATGTTGCACTTGCGCTTTCCTCGACTTGACCAAGTTTTCGTGCTTGCAAGAGATTTGACAAAGTTTTTGTCTGAACGTCTCGAATCTTTCAACTCTGCTTCTTTGAAGCCAGGGCGGACCAAGCGAGAGACTGTCCGAAGCAACCCTCCCGCAGGATCCGGCCTGTCGAGCGCCCAAACGTGTAGCGAAATGCGAATCGCCTTGGTCGGCGCGGAACCCTCTTGGCATCCGGCGTGTCGAGTGTCCAAACATGTAGCGAAATGCGAGTTTTGTCAGTTCCGGGCAAACCCTCTCGCAGGATCCGGCGCGTCGCGTCCCCAAACGTGTAGCGACAGCTATTTTGTCGGTTCTGGAGGGTTCTCGGGTGAACCCTCTCGTAGGATCCGGCGCGCCGAGGGCCCAAACAAACGTGTAGGGAAATGCTGGTGCTGGTGGGCCGGCGCGCTATTTTTGCGCGCGCTTTGCTTTTTAAACCTTTCGGGCAATCAAGGGGGTCTTGTCGTCTTTAAATTCTGTTCTGTTTGCTCTTGTTGCTATCCTGGGTGGGCGACGGGGCTGTTGGAAATAGCCCTCCATGCCACGCGACGGCAGCTGTCGTCTTCCGCGAAGATACGGCTCAGGAACCTACACGCCCTGGTATTTCACCCAACTATATAACTGGTGCAAATCTGGGGCAACAGCTTAGCCTAGGAAGCTTTCAAGAAAACTTGGGCCAGCGCTCCGCTAACAATGGGAAGTGGGGATAAGGCCGCAGCAAAACCAATCGCGCGGGGATGCGCCAGAAGCTGCCCCCTCCTTGTCCTCCTGTTGGCCTCTTCTTGCGGGATTCTCTCGTCCTTTCTTCTTCTTGTCTTGTTTTCCTTTCGGCGCGCTCCCCTCATGTTGTCCTGTTGCCCTTCTGGCATTGTCCAGTCACAGCTTGTCCTTCTTTTGTCCTCTTGGTGTGTTTGTCTTGTTTTCCTTCCTTCATCCTTTTGTCCTTTGTTGTTCCTGCTGCTGTCCTGCTGCTTACGTTGCTTTCCGAGGCAGGGGCTGAGGCCACCCAAAACAGCGACAGTTCTTGCCAGCTAAGCTGGTGGGGTCGAGTTGCAATTTAGCTCCCACCTGCCCTACTTGCTTGCCCTGAAGCGGAAACGGAAGATTCACTTTGTTCGGGCCATTCTTGTGCGCACGTGTCACGGCATGCTTTTCAACATTGAGTTATATACCAGCATAGACCCCAAACAGTTTCAGGGTGATCCTTTTGCGTCAATTCCTTGAGTTTCACATGTTGTGGAGAAGAACAAAAAGGCGCGGCCAAGCAGGGGGCAAGGTTGAGACAAGGCCAATTCGCAGACCGCAAGGCCCAGACAAGGCAGAGAAGGCGTCCGGGCAAAGCCTGGTAAGGTGGGGCGGCCCGCAGGATGCATTATAGACCCCGACAAGGCTTGGACAAGGCCGGGCAAGGCACGCCCTGGACGATTAAGTTGAAAATGAAATAGAATCATCAATTGAACACGCGGTATGAGTAGCTGCCGTATCGAATCGCTCAAAAAACTTTTCAGTCTCGCTCAAAAAGCCAACGACGCAAACTTTTCCCTAAACACTTTGCCTTTGGTGTTCTCCCTGAGGAAAAACATTGGCCACGGTCTCCGGCCGGGCCGTGCTCCTGTCCTGCTGTCCTTTGGCCGCGCTTGCAAACGCTGGTTCCTCCTTTTGTCCTTTTGCACGCCAGCGTTGTGTGTCTTCTTGTCCTCCTGGCAGCCTCCAGCTGTCGTCTGGCCGCCACTCCTGC